TTTTGTTCTTCAGTCTAGTTGTGGAGGACGTTGCTTCACTGGCCCAAGTTGGCACCATCATTGCGCTCTTCCTGGGTGAGGCAGACCAGTCGCTGGCTTCTGGACGGCTGCTGGCCGCTCACGCTGGCTGCTGGCTACACACGGTAGCCCATGGCAACCCACTGCAGCAGGGGACTGCAGCCTACGCCGTCACCAGCGACCCACAGCAGCCCAGCTCCAGGTTGAGCTGTTGTTCAGCATCTTAGCTGTAGAGGGCAGTGTCAGTGGCCCTCATATGTGGGATCTGAACCGGGGCCCTCTGGCATCCCAAGCGAGTTCTTAACCATCGCGCCACTCGGCCGGCCCTGGTATTGGTAATTTATATCTTCTTTCATTTTGTCTTTATCTTTTCAGAAAACTAGCTTTTGGTTTCATTGAGGTTTTTTTTTCCCACTCTGTTTTCTTTCTTTCTTTCTTTCTTTCTTTCTTTTCTTTCTTTTCTTTCTTTCTTTCTTTCTTTCTTTCTTTCTTTCTTTCTTTCTTTCTTTCTTTCTTTCTTCCTTTCCTTTCCTTTCCTTTCCTTTCCTTTCCTTTCCTTTCCTTTCCTTTCCTTTCCTTTCCTTTCCTTTCTTTCCTTTCTTCCTTTCTTTCCTTTTTCCTTCCTTCCTTCCTCCCTCCCTCCCTCCCTCCCTTTCATGTTTTAATGATTTTGGAAATAATTACACATTACTGTGTAGCACACTGTTTCCATCCAAGACAGATGCAAATACTTTACCCTGTCTATTGGGGAACAGTGTGTTTTTCTAGGACCCATCAGCTCCAAGTCGAGTAGTTGTTTCAATCTAATTGTGGAGGGCATAGATCAGAGGCCCATATGGGGATCGAACTGGCAACCTTGGTGCTATGAGCCTGTGCTCTAACCAACTGAGCTAACCGGCCGCCTCTTTTCTGTTGCATTTATTTCTGCTCTTATTTTTATTATTTCCTTTCTTCTATTTAACTTGAATTTACTTGGCCTTTTTTTCCCCTAACTCTTTAAGGTAAAAGTAGCTTAGCTTGATTTTTCACACCTTCTTTCTTTTCTAATATAAATATTTAAAGCTATACATTTTTTTCTAATTTCTGTTTTATTGCATCCCACAAATTTTGATAAGTTGTATTTTTATTTTTATTCAATTCAAAATATTTTAAAATTCCCTTTGTGGTCTTTCATTGACCCACAGCTTATGTAGAAGTATGTCTCTCAGTTTCCAAGTAATTTGGAATTTTCCATGTAACTTTCTGATTTCAATTTCCATTTTATTTTGCGGTGATCAGAGAATATTCTATAATTGAAATCGTCTGCAATTGACTAAGAGTTGAGTTGTGTTATATTTTATGGTCTGTCTTGCTGAACGTTCATATGCACTTGAAAAGAATGCGTGTTTTACTGTTGTTGGGTGGAGTGTGCTGTAAATGTCAATTTGATAGCTTGGTCGACAGTGTTGTTCACATCTTCTGTATCCTTACGATACTCTGTGTAGTTGTTCTATACATTTTTGAGAGAGGTTTGTTGAAATCTCCAATTCTAGTTATGGATTTGTCTGTTTTCCTTTCTGTTCAGTCAGCTTTTGCTTCATCTATCCTGAAACTTTGTTATTTGGTTCTATTGTCCATATACATTTAATTTTTTAAAAAAGTAGTTGACTCCTTTATCATTATGAAATTTATTTATTTCATTTTTCCGTGTAATATTGTTTTGAAGTCTACTTTGTCTGATATTAGTGTAGCCCCTCCAGCTGTCTGATGATGAGTTTTGCATGGTATATCTTTTTCCTTTCTCATTCTTTTATTTTCAACATGTTTATGCCTAGAGGGCAGTCAGTGCTTTGGCCATGTTTACCTTCTTTCTCGCCCCCTGTCCACGCTGCTTCTGCGGTCTGCAGAGGTCTGGGAGTGCGGGCTGCCCATGTCAGAGGTAGGCCCCTTCCCTGAGGACGGGACAGGGATCTCCACTCTGCCTTTCCATCATCCTGCAGCCTCTGCGTGGCCCCCAGGCGCAGTAAATGGATTGAGGGGTCACAGCCACCATGTGTGTAGAGTCCTGAAGTGTCAGTGGTGCCCTCGGCCAAGCCCAGGGGGTACATGGCCTGCTGCCCCTCTCTGCCCTGGGGCATCCAGTCCCTGTCACTCCTCAGTTTCCCATTGTCTTTAAAATGTGGCTTTAGCAATTTGCTGAGTTTGTTTTTTTTAACTTGTAGTGGCAGCTGTGTTCCCAGTTGTCGTGCCCAAGACCTGGAGGCAGCCTGTGCCTCGTCTGGGGAAGAGCAGGCGTTCTCATTTGTGTCTTGCTCACCCGAGGGCCCTTTGGGAGGGGACAAGACTCCAGCTGCCTGGTGCGGTGAGAGCCTCTGTGATGGGACATGTGCCTGGCTGTGCCTCAGAGACCTCAGTGATGACCCACACCACGTGTCATGGGCGTCGCTGCTGGCACGGTTGACGCGGCCGGGGCACACAGCTTTTCCTGATGGCCGTGATGGTGTGCGTGTTGGTAACTGCTATCTAACAGCGCTGAGGGGCGGATGGCTTGGCCTTTCTGCTGGGCTGGCTGCCCCGTGCCGATGATAAGGGGACATTAGGGGCGGAGACGTTTGTGGAACAGTCAGTGGGTCGGGCTGTACCTGGCATATCAGCGTGAATCCATTTCCTGTCCGTGGCCACCCTGAGTGGTGTTATGGTCATTGTCATTTTGCAGACGTCAAACAGCCAGAGATGGGCTGAAGCAAGGGGGATGTGAGATACTGAGGCCTGCCCTGAGACCGTCCCGCTGCCCGACCTCAGCGGAGCGCAGGTGTCTCGGAACCAGGGTCAATGCGGGGTCAGAGTGGGCATCTTGAGTGACGGCCGATGGGCTCATCCTGGACCGTGTGAGATGCCGGTGGCGCGGCTCTGAGGACGCAGTCCTGAGCTGTGTGTGGGGAGCCGGCTCTGTCCCTTCGTCTGGAGCTCTCGCACGCTCCTGTGTGCCATTGGCACAGTGTGCCTTTGGGTATGGCTGCCTTGGTGTGCTCCAGGCTCTGTTTTCCCTGCTAGAGACGCTCTGAAGGGCGTGCCCGGGCTGCCAGGGCTCTCCTGTGAGGCATGTTCATGGCCTCACAGATGTCCTCCTTTCTGTCTGTAGGGCCCGAGCTGAGGCTGCCCAGCGACACTGTCGCTGCCTGCTCTCTGGCCAGGCAGGTCCTGCGTGTGGAAGCAGGCGACAGTTCCTCTTGTAGCTCCTGAATCCAGAGGCTTAGAGGAGCAGCTGCCCCTGCTGGGGGGCTGCTTGAAGTGCTTGGGAGGGGTCTCCTGGCACTGCCTGGTGAGGGATACCGCCATGTTCAGGAGAATCAGCCCAATAGGGCCACAGCCAGCAGTGTAGATGGTAGGGTCACCCGGCCTGCCTGAGGGACAAGCTTGGCAAGCAGGAAAGGCCCTCATGGGCTCGGCCTGCCCGTGACCTCCTGGTGCTCCGCTCTGGACGTAGTAGCAGCATCCATCACCCCCTGGAGGGACACCACCTGGAGCCCCCGTAGGTGAGACTGGAGAGCAAGTGACACAGGAGCGATCCCCAGACTTCCTTGCTGACTGGGTGGCGTCCTTGATAGGTGGTCCCCATGACCCCTGCAGCCTCTCCTGCTGCCACCCTTGAACCTAAGGTGACGGGCATGAGTCAGGTGGCAGCTGAAATGACGTCAGTGGTGAAGTGTGGAGAGCAGCACAGCGTTCTGAGTACAGTATGACTGATCACCCAGTGTAAGCACCTGGGAGGCAGGACAGAGCCAGCAGGTGGATGAGACAAGAGTCTCTTCCATGGTGACAAATCTAGGTTTCAGTGGTAGCAAGGAACCAGATAGGGCACTTGTAACATTGACAGTTTTCAGATGTAAAAAGAAAGACTTGTCTGTCCCCAGAGACAGAGCAGAGGGAAGACTCAGTGGCCTGCAGCCCTCACAGGCAGCACTCATGCTGGGGGTGGGGGCACGAATGGAGGGCCACACATATGCTGGGACCGTGTGGCAGCCAGGGGCAGTATGGAGCCTGGGACATGACTGCAAACATGCACAACCGTTCTCAGTGGGTGGATGGAAAAGGAGAGGGGACGATTCCCTTTGGAAGCACACCCGTCATGTCACTCTCATCATGATGTTTGAGTTGTGCTGGCCTGCCGTTGTTGTTCACTTCCCCTTTACCACGTGTGTTCTTTTCTTTTTTTAAGATTTTTCTTACTGGGGAAGGGGAACAGCCAAGTTGTTGTCCTTCATTCTTAGTTGTGGAGGGCGCAGCTGGCTCAGCTCCAAGTCCAGTTGCCATGCTGCTGCCCGTCGGCAGTTTGTGGCCATTCAGCTCAAGGTGCTGTTTTCAATCTTAGTTGCGGGTGGGCATAGCCCACCATCCCATGCGGGAGTCAAACTGGCAACCTTGTTAGGAGCACGTGCTCTCACCAGCTGAGCCATCCTGCCACCTGTTGGCAGCTCAGCCGCAGCTTAGCTTGGGCGCAGCTCACTGGCCCATGTGGGAATAGAACCGGCAACCCTGTTGTTCAGAGCTTGTGCTCTTAACCAACTGAGTCACTTGGCTGACCCTACCACATATGTTCTTGATTTGGGAGGATGGTCAGAAGATTTTCTGTCTCTACTGACGGGACTCCATTGTCTGCGGTGGCCTGCAGGTTGCAGCTTTATTTGGAAAAGACTGGAACATGTAAAGAGTCGATGCCCCCAGTCCCTTCCCTTTTAACAGGTGGACCTCCATTGCCACTGTCCCACCTGTTAGCGGCCCCAGGGGCATGTGGGCATGGTGGGATCCTGGCTTGGCCATTGGTTAGAGACCCCGAGAGGAGCTGAGGGGTGGACTGTGACAGACCTGCTTCACTGGGGTGGGCAGGGAGGGTGGTTGCGGTCAGAAGTGTCCCCAATGATGGGTGGGCTGTGGTGGGGTAATGTGAGGGGAGCTGGTGGGTTTTGTGGGTTTGGGGGTGAATGAAGGTGCCCATGGGGATGCGTGATGGGAACGTGCTCCCGTCTCATGGGAGGGACCAGGAGAGAGCTGGTGAAGACAGGCCCATTCAGACACCTGGACCCATCTGGGGTGAGATCCAGGCAGGGTTCTCGGTGTCGCTGGTGGTGACATGTCCCAGAGAGGGAGAGGGCCCCCAGGAGGCTGAGGAGGGTCAACCTGGGGCTGGGGGAGGGAGCCCTGGGAGCAGGTCCTGCCCAGGTGGAGGGACCGAGACGGGATGGATCACGTCCCCAGAGTGGGCCTGGACCCCATGCTGTGAGGTGAGTGCTTTTCCCTTTGCAGCCTATCAGCGTCATTGCCCCTATGCCCTTGTCTGGCACCGTGGGAGGCGGCATACCCCCACCAGTCTGCTGCTCACTGCTGCCATCTCCCCACAGGTCCGAATTCACCGACACCATCCTGTCTGTGCATCCCTCCGACGTGCTGGACATGCCCGTGGACCCAAACGAGCCCACCTACTGCCTGTGCCACCAGGTGTCCTATGGGGAGATGATAGGCTGTGATAATCCGGATGTGAGTGTTGGGGCACGGCGGCACGGCGAGGTGGGGTTCTGCCGCAGGATGTGGGTACCTTGAGATGGGGATCCCGGACACTGTGGCGCCCACCATGGGACCCTTGGGCGGGATCTTATACCAGGTGGGGTAGGGTGGGGGAGGGGAGGCAAGTGTCTGTTTCTCGGTCTGGCACACAGAACAGCAGAGTGCTGACTGCCGGCTGTCCCCTCTGCTTTGCAGTGTCCCATCGAGTGGTTTCACTTCGCCTGTGTGGACCTGACCACGAAACCCAAAGGAAAATGGTCAGTATGGGGTGCTGCTCTGTCTCCTTCTGCCCACCGGGCATCCTGCCTGCGTTGGCTTCCCTCGAGAACAGGGAGGAGGCTAGGCCTGGTGGGACCGTCTCTGCTGGTGCCCGTGGTACTCTTGGTGTGGCTATGGGGACCAGGCATGTCACACACTGGTCCTGGGTCCCCAGGCCAAGTTGGCAGAGGGACATCTGCTGCCCACCTCACCCGGCTGCATCTTTTATTGTATTTTTATGATACTTAGGTTTCTGTTGTTCTGTAGAAGGGCCATTCTGGCTTTTGAATGAGGTCCAGATAATCCCCAGTACAAATGAGACATGGGTGGTTCTTTTCCCCTCGGGAAGCTTCCAGCGGGGCTGAGCAGCACAGCACTAAACGGGTGGCACCAGGGTGGGCATGCTGTCTAGTCAGGAGCACTCATGGGACCAAGCTCCTCCTGGTCTTGATCCTAGATTCAGTTGTTCCTAAGATTTCACTTAAATAAAACCTGGTTTGTTTACTTGTGTTAAAAATGGATATATGTTCTAAAATGAAATAATAGACGTGCTGCCGTCTTTGTGTGTGCGTGTGTGCGCGCGTGTGCGTGCGTGCGTGTGTGAGTGTGTGTGAGTGTGATGCCTTTGCTTGTGTGCAGATGGGGATCTGAAACCCCAAAGGCTTTACCCTGGTCTTTAGTGGACAGCTGCAGGACAAGTGCCCCCGTGTCTCAGAGCCCTGGGCCGTCTTGTCCCGGGAGTGGCCCCCTGGGCACCGGGACACAGCGCATCTGAGGAGTGGCGCAGCAGGCCCTGGACAATGCCCTGTAGCATGGGTGATGGGAACATGATAGAGCCATGGGCGGAGTCCTGGCAGGCAGAGCTTGCGGAACTGGGCAGCCACCCGGCTGAGGAGGCCACCCCGCCGGACACTCTCGGCCCGTGATGGGGGCTCCTGAGTCGATGGGAGGGACGCGAGACAGGGAAGTTTGATTTGAGTTGATTTTGGACATGCTGGCTGTGGGTTGTTTGCGGGACTTCGGCTGGAAGAGTCTAGTAGGCATTGGAAAATAGCTTTGCCTCTGGGAGAGGGGGGACTGTGTAGGCCCAGCCGGCATGCGGCGGAAGAGGCAGGTTGGATGGAGCTGGGGAGGCAGGCTGGGGCCCCATCCCGGCTGTCTTAGTTCTGGTTTCTTTGTGGTCTTTTTAGAGGTCAGCACGTGCACAGGCTTTTCCCCCGTCAGTAAGATGGAAGCCGACTGCCGTGTTCTTGCTGTGTGAGGACCATGATGCTGGGAGAACGTTGCTTTTCTCTGGGGCTCGGCTGGGATGGGCAGGGGCCAGGGATGAGGCAGGAATCAGCTGCCTCCTGCTAGGGAGCTCAGGAGGGCTGAAGGGGAAAGCAGTATGGCATGTCCCCTTATGTCACTGGCTGCCATGGTCCAGGAGTCACCCAGAGACCCCTTGGTCTAAGGCGCAGGGACTTGCTTGCCCAGCCAGGGCCACCAGGGAGCACGTGTTAGCATGCAGCTTCCTGGCCACTCAGACCTGCAGGGCAGGCCTGGGACTCTGGGGCTGCCTGGCGCAGCGTGCACGCCTTTCCCTGCCTGCACCATGGGTGACGTCTCCTGTTAGATCACCGCTGACCTGTTACTCCACAGGGAAGACCACTAACCTTGATCAGGAGGAAAGTGGTTGTGCTGATTGATTTGTATCTCTTGACTTCAAAGTAGATGAGTTTGATGTGCGGCGTGCTTAGCTTTTCCCAACTGGAAAGCAGCGTGCTCTGTATTTGTGGGTCTTCTCTGGTGTTATCGCACCGATGTCTAGCTGGGAGACCTGGGGGCCCAGGGTCTGGGCCTCCTGAGTGCTGGCGGAAGTGGTGCAAAGGGCCAATTGCTGTGCCTTTCTCATCACAGGTTCTGTCCCCGGTGTGTTCAGGAAAGGAGGAAGAAGAAGTAAGGAAGAGGCTGACGCCTGGGCCAGAAGAGCAAGTTAACACACTCCTTCATTCATGTTGCAATATTTTATCTTCATTTTAAAACTACCTTCTTTTGAATGACATTTAATAACTCAATGGCCAGTTGTAATTCTGGATACTTCCTAAAACAAACAAGAACCCACCTGAGCCCTGTTTGCACAGAGGAGTGATCTTATCAGGACTTGCCACAGTGACTTTATTGTTGTGACTTTTCGTACAGACCCTGCACTGAGCGCGGCAGTCCCACGAGCCGCCTGAGGGACTCCACGGGTATGTGCGTGGGGAGTGCTGGGTGCGCTGGGACGTCCAGCCTGGTGCATACACTGCCATCATTTGGCAGCTAGGGGTGCAAGCCTCGCGTGGTCCGTATTCCCTGGGCTGCTCCCCGAGAGCCCAGCACCACTGTAAGCGCGTCTGCATCTGTCCACACCAGGGCGCGGTGCCTGCGGGCACCCTCCGGCCTTAGCCCTGCCCTCGATGTCTGGACTCCCCTTTCCCTCCCGAGGGTTTTGCCTTCTGGGTGAACGCTCTGGATTGGCGATGGCCGTCTGTACGACAACCAGCACCAATAAGAGCCGGCGTGACGGGCGGGCTGATGGCTCCATTTCTCTGGGATTCCAGACATTTTTACTGTGAAGATGAAGTTGTTGTAATAGCATGAAGATAGTGGGTCTAGTCTGCTCAGAGGTGATCTAAAGCTGTTTGTGTTGCGCCCTTTTTGGTAATAGTTGGATACATTGCATACATTTGGGGTGTTAGGATTCACTTGTGATGGTGCCTCTGGTGCGACTGCCAGGAGCGCCTCTGGACTCTGCGAGACCCCCATGATTTGGAGATGTCAGAATTCCTGAAGAAAGATGTGAACTCTCTGTCTTCATGTCAGAAAAGGAAACCCACGAGATGGAATCAAGATGTGAAATGCCCAGAAGAATCTTGTTCTCTTTGTGAGGAGGGACATCTGGAGTGAGCCACCTGCTTCCTTCTGATGGCCTCGTTCACTGTATCCTTCCTCCCACTGTCTCATCTCTCACCCGGGAGAGGAACTCGTGAAGCTGTGTCCCAGACAGGCTGCCCCGCAAATGAGTTAACGTTCGGCAACGACAGCGGGATGGCAGAGGGCAGCCGGGGTCCGGCTGGAACACGTGTCTGTGGTTCTCAGTGGAACTTAGCCTGCACTGGACGTGTCCAGTCTGCTGTCCTTTCTGGAGTGAGCCCAGGGAGTGGGACTTGTTCCCAAATGACTGGGAGTGGGTGGGGGGTGGGGGTTCAGTTCAGCATGTGGGACCCTTCCAGTCTTGGGCTGGGGGGTTAGGGTAGGGGCTCAGCAACTGCTATGGCCTGTCCCTGGTGGGTCCCCAGGCCTGACGAGCGTTTTCACAACCGATGCCTTCCTGCTGCTCAGGAAGGAGGGATGGGGGCGGCCTCAGAATGAGCACCATCCCGCACACCCTGTCTCAGCCACACTGGAAACGAGGCATGCTGGTATTTAGTAATTTAGTTCTATTTTAACACAGGTGTTCAGAGATTGTGGGGAATTAATTGTGGAAAATGTTTTCTTCCCTCTTTAACCAGTTTTTGTGGAGAGGATAGGTAAGTATAGTAAGTTTGTGATTCTGTAGAAGCTGATTTAATATTTACACTTCATCTATGAATACTTCACACCCGCTGTCACCACAGAAAAAGTGGTATTTGTGGATGTAGGTTCGTGGCTGGTTAGTCTGATTGTCATCTGGTTTCCCGAGGCCTCACTCATTTCCCGGGAAAGATGGCTGACTTCTGTGACTTAGGCTTTTGTTTAAAGTTCAGTGTCATCCTCCTTGTCACTGTAACATCCCGTGTGTTGACCTTTTTTAAGTTTCTGTGCTTGTCTGTTTCTAGTGTTTACTTTTGCCAGTTATAACAATATCACCGAAATAACACGTGTGTGGCTCTGAAGGAGACGGAAACCATGAGCAGAATAGAAGGTCTCCTTGGACACTATTTGCATGATGACCGAATGCCTTCCTGACTATTAATACTGTCTTAAGAATCAGGATGTACCACTTGGCCTGGCTTCAGCCCGGGGGGATAGCTGGTGCCCACACTGCTCACACCACCTGAGCATTGTTCCACACGGCCTGGCCGCCCTGTCCGGTGGGTGATTCATGCCAGACTCTGTCCGTGCTCCCAGGCCCCACACCTGACCCTGGGGCAGATGTGGACCCAACCTCGTCCCTCAGGTTGAGGGGGTCAGGGTCGGCCCAGTAGTCCCCCAGGCAGCCATCTGAGCCCAGGCTGCGGGCCCTCTGTGGCTGTGGGCTTGTAAGAGAAGTATCTTGTTCCGAGGACATGCAGAACCATTTCCCTTGTCCTCAGTGCTATGTCATCAGCCTCCAGTTCTCCAACAGGACACATGCTGTTAGCTGAGCCCCCTGCATCTGTGGCTGTGCTAGTGGAGCTATTGGCTGGGCGGAGGCCTGAGTGACTGTCCCCACTATGTAGGCTGGGGTCCCCGGGCAGGTGGATGAGACTGGTACAGGCCAGGGCCAGGAGAGCCGGTGGCTTCTGGTCTGCCCGGGGCAGCAAATGCCTGACACAGCCGTGTGAACCTCTAACAGTGGGGCGTGCTGGGATGCATGGGCACAAAGACAGCCGTGTCAGTGCCGTTCCAGACGGCTGCACTGCACTTGGCCTCCTCCCTGTCCCGCGGCAGAGGCTGCTTCAAGCAATAACGTCCACAGAGCAGCCTCCCCACGCGCCACAGCCAGGGCCTGCCCCATCATAGGACACTTCTGGGCATTGCAGAGCTAAGGTTTCCTCAATTTTTAGTGACTAGCAATTGGTCATTACCTGTCCTGAGAGGAATTTTAAAATGGGAAGTCTAAGAAAAATGTCCTCATTCAGGAGGCAGTTCTATGAAGTTTCTTCCTATGTATGTATTTTGTGGTGTTCACCTTTACCACATTTCATCCAAAAAGATGATGCAGCTTTAACATGAATGTTACATTTTATTTTCAAGGAATTATTATCTATGTTTCCTTTGTAAAGGAAAGATAATATTGTAAATCTTTTTATTAAATAATGTAAAGATGTATATCTGTATTTTTGGATCATGTTATAGATAATGGATATATTGTTTAATAAAGAAAGTATTTTTTGGAACAAACACTAGAGAATGCATCATTTGGGCAATGACAGTACTTCAGCGTGTGTCAAGCAGGGGTCAGCATATCCTGCAGTGAATCATGAAGGGTTACGTGCAGTGAGCTTTAGGAGGGCCTCACCTTGGTCAGTGGCCAGCTCTGGCCCTCAGCTGTGTCGTGGCATCAGAAGGTGGTTCCCAAGCTCATAAGAAAGACATGCGTAAATGAGATCACTGGGGTTGATTTATGGAGACCTAAAGTGCCTCCCAAGACCTGCATGGCTGTCAAGTCCCCTTTAGGGACTGAATAGTTCTTAGGACATTTCCTTGAGAGTATTAACGACCAGGGTCCAGAAACCCAATGGGGTCACCTCTGTGAAACGGCATAGCGCACCCGTCTTCCAGATGAAAACTCAGGGACTTAGAGTCTGCCACAGAGCACCTGTGGCCATTTGTGTAGGTGACTGCCTGGGAAAGGAAATGCCAGCTGTTTGTTTTGGGGTGGGGATAGTCACCTTCACTGGTTCTGAACTGTTATCCCCACAGACAGAGCGAGGGCCTACGGTGATCAGGCGGGAGGTCACGTTTGGGTGGTTATCTTCCCAGTGCCATCCTGTGTCACTGAATAGGCCTGACAACTGGCAGAATTCCCGCAGTGACCTGTGGAGCAAGGACCATTAAGGCAGGAGGGGCCAGGTAGAAGTCCTCTCCCGCCTCCCCCCACAACAGTGATGCAAAGGCAAACTGCGTCCTTGACAGGGAGGCACAGTGTACTGCGCTGAACACCCCCAGGTCACCTGCGTGAAGACAGTGTACCGAGGACTGGTCTGGTGATGATTCCTGCTGCGGCACTTACCAGCGTAAATGGGCACACGGCCGGCGGTCAAGAAAGGACCCGTTCTTGGCAAAGCCACCAGTGCACCTACAGTCTGCCTCAGGGCTGCGTGAACACTCTTGTTCTCTCTCGTCACGTGGCCCAGACACTCTCGTTACCAGAACGTCCCTCAGAGTCCCCTTCCCATCTGCTTTGCTGGTGTCACACGGAACCGGATGAGCACACAAGCACTGGTGATGCCTCAGTAGGACCCATGGAGCCAGAGGGAGGGAGGTGACCCCTGCTCCAGCTCCACATACTGTGTCAGGAAGGTGGAAGCAGTGTCACTGACAGTTCTGGGTACTTGGAGGGCCAAGGTAAAGTGACTGCAGAAGCAGGTACCACCCCTAAGCTGGGGCCAAGGCAGGAAGCTGCCGTTTCTGCATCTGGCATCTTGCAGGAGGGCCACTGAGTAGGACTGCAAGCTCCCAGGAGGGCTGGCTTTGGGAGGGTGCCCTGCAGGGCAGGATCCGCCTATGGCAGCAAGCGCTACCTACTTGTCCCTGGTGCCCCATGGAGCCAGGACTGAGACGTCTGCGACACCCGCAAGGGAATGGGACAGGCCAGGAACTGGCACCGGAGCCCACAGGGTGAGGGCCGTCACTGAAGTAATGTCACAGGAACATCCATCAGGCCACAAGATTCCGTGGTTCCCTGTCCTTGCCCCTCCCAGGTGCCCCAGGGGGGCAAAGTTGAGCTGGCCCCACAGAGCAGAGGTCAAGGGCACGCTGGAGCTGAGGCTGGCAGCCTAAGGGGCAGGCGAAACCTGGAAGGGCTGGAGAAGCGGGGTCCTGAGGGCTGGCTGTTGCGTGTTTCTGGCCTTCCCACAGCCCCAGCAAACCCCCTCCCCGCCCAGCCCCTCTGAGGTCCTCTCATTTGATTCCCGGGCCAAGACTTTTGTTCAGGAGTGTCGTGGCTGCTTGGCAGAAAGCTCTGGGAGCTTCCTGGGGTCCCGCCTTCAAAGCACACCAGTTTACAGGGGTGTCAGCCCTTTGGCAGGAGCGGGGGCAAGGGCACCGGTGCTCTCGGAGCCAGAGTCTCCTGGGGGAACCAGAGGCCCCTTGGGGGGCAGAGACCCCTGGGGGAGCGAGGCCCCTGGGGAGGGAGCCAGAGACCCCTAGGCCTGCAGTAGCGGGGAGTGGGCAGTTACCCTTTCCGGCCCCACGGGGTGGACCACGGTGGGGCCAGCGCTCGGGGAGGGTGTGCGAGGGTGTGCTGAGACCCCTGCTGGGCGAGAGGGGTTACGGGTCACGGCCGGCTGTCCCCGCGGCGGGCGGCGGAACGGACCGCGCGCCCGGACGCACGGGGCTACCTTTGGGGCTGGGGCCTGAGGGGCGGGGCTGGGGCCTGAGGGGCGGGGCCAGGGAGGTGGAGCCCGGAGGGCGCCAGTGCGCAGACTCAGCCTGTCCGCCCCGCCCACTCTGGATCTGAGTGGCTTGAGGCCTGCGGCGTCCGCTGCGGCCGGGACGGGGACGCGGACGTGAGTGCGTGCGCGCGGCCGCCGGGGGTCTGAGCGAAGGGGCCGCGGGTTGTAGGTCGGGGCGGTGGCCGCGATCTTGATCCAGGAGGGTGGCGAGCGCGGACGCTGCGGGCGGGCCCGACCCTGCTCTGGCTGCGTCCCGTCACGTGAGAGCCCGGGCAGTGCGCGCGTCCGCAGCTCCTCGCGGGCACGAGCCTCGGCGCGCTCCGCGTCCTCCCAGCGGGGCGGCTCCTCCGGGGCCCGGCCGACCCCCGTCCCTCGTGGGCTACGGGCGCAGCCCCGAGCTCCCGGTCCGGGTTGGGGGCCCCGGGACAGGGCCCTGCGCCCCTCCTAACGTGAGTGCCCCGGTCTGTGGTGCAGTTAGTCCTCGCCGCCACCAGTGCGGCAGGCGCGGCCCAAGGGCGCAGAGACTCGCTCGTGTTCCCGAGGTCACACAGCCCCGGGTGCGGATCAGGCCGTGAGCGCCGGATGAGGAGACGCACCGCCTGCCGCCTGTCGCCTCGTGCTGTGCGGCTGCGGGTCAACGTGCGAATCCGCCTCTGTCACGTGGGCAGCCAGAGACACGGCTCTCACCCCCCTTTTTTCCATTCGGCACTTTTTAAAGTTGTGGTAACATACATGAAACATAACATTGACCAGTTTAGCCGTTTTGAAGTATACAGTTGGTGGCATCGTCCCTCGCCTTGTACCCCTTGAGTCCTGGTTTTGTTCTGAAGGAAGAGGGCTGAAGGGAGCTGTGTTGTTGTAAATGTGAAGATTAACCCCAGGATGGCAGAGGCAGCGCTCAGCTCGGGGAGATCTCCGCGGCCCGCCCGGCCGGGGGACCCCCCCACAGAGAGCAGCCAGCGCAGCTTCCCGGCGCCTCCTGCCCCCTCTTCCCCGCCGTCCTCACGACCTTCCCTGACCTGGGCCGTGTGGGGCTCTGTCCCCGCAGTTACTTCCTTTTCATCGTTCCTGGCGTCCCGGCTTACACGTCCCATCACTTGCTTTTTAGGGCAGGAGCGATGGTGCCCCATCTGGTGTCCAGGTGGCCTGTGTGGCTCTTCAGGTGGCCGGCGGCCTGCACTCCTGGAGCCTCTGTGCAGCATAACACATGGGCGGGGATGACGAGGACCCCCGCTGGGGGCAGCCCTTGGGGGATCGTGGGCACCAGCACCCCGGTTCGCAGAGGCAGCTCCTCCACGTCCTCCCGGGCCCCCGAGGTGATGCTGACCCACAAGCGCTACCCCGTGCGGAGGCTGCCCTTCTCCGTGGTGTCCGAGCAAGACCTGGCCGCCTTTGAGCGCATCGTCCCCGGCAGGGTCATCACAGACCCTGAGGAGCTGGAGCCTTCGAACGTGGACTGGCTGAGAACCCTGCGAGGTGAGCGAGGGTCTGTTCACGCCTCGGGCGCCAGGGGGCGACGTAGAGCAGCAGCGGTGAGCCCGGCAAGGACGCCCCTGGCTGGGGCGAGGAGCCTGCCTCACGCGGAGGGAGAGCTGCCTGCTGGTGACTGTGAAATGCACCGAGGACAGAATTTATAGGAGTTTATTGGTGGTGTAGGACACTTGTCAGTTAAAGGACGACACTGTCCTCTGGCTGCTGCTAGGGGCCTGTGTTTTTGTTTTTTTAAAGATTTTATTGGGGAATCGGGGAAGGGGAACAGACAAGGTGCTGTCCTTTTGTTCTTCAGTCTAGTTGTGGAGGACGGCGCTTCACTGGCCCACGTTGGTATTATCATTGCGTTCTTCCATGCTGAGGCAGAACGGTTGCTAGTCACTGGACGGCCGCTCACGGTGGCTCACGGCAGCTCACGCTGGCTGCCGGCCACATACGGTAGCTTATGGCAGCCCACTGCCACAGGGGCTGCAGCCTTCACCGTCGCCGGCGACTCTCGGCAGCCCAGCTCCAGGTCGAGCTG